CCCTAGTCTGCCTTCTCTTCTATCTCTTCCCCTTTCTCTTATCCCCTTCCCCTTCAATTTTCCTGTAGGGCAGGATGGATTTCTGTACCCCATTTCCTGTATTTCTTATTTTCCAGTTGCATGTGAAAACATTTTTTTTAAACATGTGTTTTTAAAACTTTGGGTTCCAAATTTTCTCCCTTCCTCCCTCCCCACCCACCCTCATTGATAAGGCAAGCAACTCAATATAGGTTATACATGTGCAGTTATGCAAAACACTTCCATAGTAGACATGCTGTGAAAAACTAACTCTATTTCCCTTAATCCTATCCCACCCACCCATTTATTCTATTCTTTCTTTTGACCCTGTCCCTCCTCAGAAGTATTTGCTTCTGATTACTCCCTTTCCCAATCTGCCCTCCTCTCTATCATTCCCCTACTCTCTTGTCCCCTTGCCCCCCTATTTTCCTGTAGGGTAAGACAGATTTCCACACCCAATTGAGTGTGTATGTTATTACCTCCTTAAGTCAAATTCTATGAGAATAAGATTCATTCATTCCCTCTCACCTTCCCCTGTTTCCCCTCCACTGTAAGAGCCTTTTCTTTTCTGGGGTTTTTTTGGGGGGGATAATTTACCCCATTCTACCTCTCCCTTTCTCCTTCTCCTAGTATATTCCTCTCTCATCTCTTAATTTTATTCTCCAGATATGACCCCTTCATTTTCAATTCACCCTGTGCCCTCTATCTATCTATCTATCTATCTATATCTATATATATGTACATATAATATTTTCCCCTCCAACTACCCTAATACTGACAAAGGTCTCATGAGTTACAAATATCATCTTTCCATGCAGGAATGTAAGCAGTTCAACATTTATAAGTCTCTTATGATTTTCTCTTTCCTGTTTACCTCTTCATGTTCCACTCCAATCTTGTATTTGAAAATCAAATTTTCTATTCGACTCTGGTCTTTTCATCAAGAATGCTTGAAAGTCCTCTATTTCATGGAATAACCATTTTTTCCTCTGCAGGATTACACTCAGTTTTGCTGGGTAGGTGATTCTTGGTTGTAATCCTATCTCCTTTGCTCTCCGGAATATTATATTCCGTGCCCTACGGTCCCTTCATGTAGAAGCAGCTAAATCTTGTGTTATCCTGATTGTGTTTCCACAATACTTGAATTGTTTCTTTCTGGCTGCTTGTAGTATTTTCTCCTTGACCTGGGAACTCTGGAATTTGGCTACAATATTCCTCAGAGTTTTCCTTTGGGGATCTCTTTCAGGAGGAGCTCGGTGGATTCTTTCAATTTCCATTTTGCCCTCTGGTTCTAAAATATCAGGACAGTTTTCCTTGATGATTTCTTGAAAGATGATGTCTAGGCTCTTTTTTTGATCATGGCTTTCAGATAGTCCCAATAATTTTTAAATTCTCTCTCCTGGATCTATTTTCCAGGTCAGTTGTTTTTCCAATGAGACATTTCACATTGTTTTCTAATTTTTCATTCTTTTGGATTTGTTTTACAGTGTCTGGATTTCTCATCAAGTCACTAGCTTCCAATTGCTCTATTCTAATTTTTAAGGAAGTATTTTCTTCAGTAACCTTTTGGACTTCCTTTTCCATTTGGCCAATTTTGCTTTTTAGGGCATTCCCCTCATTGGCTTTTTGGACCTCTTTTGCCATTTGGGTTAGGCTACTTTTTAAGGTGTTATTTTCTTCAGTGTTTTTTGGGGTCTCCTTTAGCAAGCTGCTGACTTGTTTTTCATGATTTTCTTGCATCACTCTCAGTTTTTCCTCTACTTCTCTTACTTGCTTCTCAAAATCCCTTTTGAGCTCTTCCAAGGCCTAGGACTGATTCATACTTTTCTTGGAGGCTTTGGATGTAGGAGCTTTGGCTTTGTTGTCTTCTTCTGGTTGTATATTTTGATCTTCTTTGTCATCAAATATAATATAGTCTGACTCTTTTTGCACTGCTTACTCATGATCCCGGCCAATTACTTGAGTTTTAAACTGTTTGTTAAGGTAAAAGTCTGCTTCCAATGTGAAGAGTGTACTGTCCCAAACTTCGGGGGTTTGTACAGCTGTTTTCAGAGGTGCTTCTAGTGACCTGTAAATTTTCAGTTCTTCCAAGGTGGTATGATAAGGGGCGAGGTGTTTCCTCTCCACCACCACAACAAGCTCCACCACACCAGTGCTCCTCCTCGACCCAGGCCCACCCCTCAGAACTGTGACCCAGATCCAAGCACCAGTAAAGCAAGATTCCTGCCTCAGTACTGGCAAAGAGATCCTTGCAATCCCCCTCTGATCAGCCACTCAATTCCCCCTCAGTCTGTGGGCCTGAAGCTCAGGAAACAGCCACGGCCCCGGGCAGCGCTCGAGACTTGTGGCTGAGACCTAGCTCCTCTCTCACCTCAGTCACAGACTTTTCCCATTGACCTTCCACATTGTCTTTGGCATCAGGGGTTGAGAAATCTGGAAACCATCACAGCTGCCTGTGATTCAGTCCTGTGAGGCCTGCTCCAGGGTCGTTGCAGCCTGCGTGCCCATGCTGAACTGCGCTCCTCTCCCCACCCAGCACGATATAACTTTCTCGATCAACCATTTAGGCTGTCTTTGGCTGGAAATTTGTTTCACTCTGTCTTTTTGTGGGTTCTGCTGCTTTAGAATTTGTTTAGAGCCATTTTTTTAGGTATTTGGAGGGCTTTGGGAGAGAGCTCAAGACAGTCACTGCTTTCCCTCCACTATCTTGGCTCCACGCCTTGCTGCCCAATTCTAATTTTTAAGGAATTATTTTCTTCAGTGACTTTTTAGAGTTCCTTTTCCATTTGGCCAATTCTACTTCTTAAGGAATTCTTTTTTTCAGTGAATTTTTGTGTACCTTTTTTCATGTGGCCAATACTGCTTTTTAAGGAGTTCTTCTCTTCAGTGAATTTTTGTGCCTCTTTTTCTATTTGACCTATTCTGTTTTTCAAGGTGTTATTTTCTTCAGTATTTTTTGTGCCTTTTTTACCAAACTGTTGGTTCTTTTTCAAGATTATCTTGTGTCACTGTCATTTCTTTTTTCAATTTTTCCTCTACCTCTCTTGATTTTTAAAATCCTTTTTTGAGTTCTTTCAGGAATTCTTGTTGGGCCTAAGACCAATTCACATTTTTCTTTGAGGCTCTTGATGTAGCAGTTTTGACTTTGTAGTCTTCTTCTGAGTTTATATTTTGATCTTTCCTGTCACCATAGTAATTTTCTAGGATCAGGTTCTTCTTTTTTGTTGTTGTAATGTGCTCATTCTTCCAGCCTATTTCTTGACTTCTAACTTTAGATTAAAGTTGGGTTCTGCATGGAACTGTGACCAGGGTCCCCATTCCCCTGCAGCTGCAAATTCTCATGTAGTAGTGGTCATCCTTGCCCTGGGACTGTGACCCAAGACTGTGACCCAGATCCCTGTATGGGCAACGCAACAGACTCTTGCATCCAGTGTCAGCAAAGGGGTCTCTGTAACATCCTTCTGACCAGTTGTCCAACCTCCTTATCATTTGCAGACTGAGAGCTCCAGAAGCCACTGCTGCCTATTCAGTTTCCCCCCAGGCCTCCTGCTGGTTTGTCAGGAGTTGCCCGCACTATACTGTGCTCCACTCTCACCCCAGCGCAACAGACTTTTCCAGCCAACCTTCTAAGTTATCCTGAGCTGGAAAATTGTTTCACTTTGTCCTTTTGTAGGTTCTGCCACTCCACAATTCATTTTAAAGTTGTTTGGAGGGGAATTTGGGAGAGCTCAGGTGAGTCCATGCCTTTTCTCTGCCATCTGGGCTCCACCACCTTCCCCACCACCACCTAAGCCTAAACTCCAAAGACACAGGGCAAGACATTTCCTCAAAATGTCTGGCTCTCTATACCTCTACCCTACAGCCTGAGGTAGGTAGGAGGTAATCACTTAAAAGTTTAGGTTTGTTTCAAGTCTAGAGTTTTCCCAAAAAAAGAAGAGTAAAAAGGCACTCAATGCTCAATTCATATTTGATTCTGGAGGTAATAGGGAGCCACTGGAATTTCTTGAGTAGAGACAGGACATAATAGGAAAATCACTTTGGACATGTGAAAGTTGGAGTGAAGAGACATTTGAGCCAGAAATATCATGTAAGAAATGATTACAATAGACCAGATGAGAGGTGATGAGAGTCTATACTGGTATGTTTTGTGAACACAGACTCCTGATCACCACTGCCCTGACCCTTCCCTCCCACCCCCCAAATAAAAAGCCTCCAAAGGCATTTAACAACCAAGGAGCCTCTTCAGGGACCCAAACCTTGATTCTATTTCAGTGCTGCCAAACCTCACTGAGAGTCTCTTCATGGATATATACACATAGGGTACCAACACCCCATAGGCATCCACATGCCAAGGTACACAGGGGTGCTCCCTTCATGTGATCAGTGCATAGCCAGGGTCTAGGCTGTTACAATAGTAATAGTGATGTTTAGAGGGTCTTAGAGTTCCTTTGCCCTTCTCTATAGCAACAGAACTCCAAACCCCTCTCAAGACACTGGCTGTCAACATCCACAGGAAGGGATCTTCCAGGCCGTGAAGAGCTAGAGATGAGGTGACCCCATGAACTCAATCAGGCTCTAGCTAGACCAGAAAAAAACAGGTCAGCAGCCCCTGACCCCTCAAGGTCTGTCTGCCTTTTCCTCCTGTTGAGTCCCTACCCCCTCTCTCTTATTCCTACCAGGTATAGGGGAATGAAAGGATTGATCCTGGAGGACTGGGGTGGGGGTGGAGGAGATGGGATGGCAGGGAGAGGGAAGAATGATCATAGAATGACAGCAGACTAGATAGTGTGACCTCGGAGGATAAGGGAGTGGGTGACAACCTCAGAGGGATAAAGGAATGGGTGGGATGACCCCAAGAGCACAGAGTAATCAGTGGGATGATCCTGGAAGGATAGATATGATGAACCCAGGGCATAAGGCAGTGGGCAGAATGACCTGGGCAGTGCTCCTGAGGTCCCACATATCCCCACAGGCCCCTCCCCATGGCCTCAAAGAAGAAGAGTGGGGGCTCGGGCCGCCAGGGTGCAGGGGGCCTGGGCACAGATGGCACAGAGACGGCGGTACTGTCGGATCGCTACCAGTTTCTGCAGCGGGAGTTTGCAGCATTGACTGAGCAGCTAGACACCTATGAGAAGCGTGTGCAGAGCGTGCTATGGGAGAATGACTTCCTGGACCAGGAGGCTGCCCAGCTACGTGAGGAGAACCGGCAATATGCATCTTATATGTCCTCACGGGCCCAGCGCTGTGCCAACTTCATCATCACACTGGATGCCCAGAACCGGGCAGACCTGGCCCAGGTGCACTTCCAACAAGAAGAGCTCACTGCTCTATACCAGGGTCGCGAGGGTGTCGTGCGCTCCCAGCTCACAGAGATGGAGGCCCGCTTGGCCAAAATGGCGTACCAGGTGGAACTGCTACAACCCTTCAAGGTCAGTGACCCATGGGTGAGCAGGGGTACAGATGCGGGTTGCACACAGGGCTAAGGAAAAGGGAGAAGACACAGACAAGGGATCAGATAAGGAGGACTCAACAATGCCTTCAGAGAAGGCTTGTAAAGACTCAACCCGCCTAGTTGCTCTTAGCCCCATACACTTACCTGTCTCTGGAACCTTGGAGCCAGAGATACTGGCTCCAAGGTCTGGACATGGGGTATATAGAACCTAAGGGATTGCACAAAGGGGACTGTCCATGTCAACACCTTGGGGCTGATCCTATGGTCCTCTGGACCCGCCCAGGAGCTACAGCTAGAGCAGCTGGCCAGGATCAAGACCCTAGAAAGAGAGTTGCTGCACATGCGGGTGGAGCACACCCAACTGCTGCACCGTGTGAAAGGACACTTCCTGGAGGACAAAGCCACATGCGAGCGTGAGGCCCGGCAACAGGTTCAGTTGCTGGTACGCAGGGCAGAGCGTGAAGCCACTAGCTCCCTCCTCACACACATTCAGTCTATCAAGGCTGAGAATAGGCGTCTCCGGCAGGAGCTCCTGGAGCTCCTGCTCCGGACAAAGCTTCTGCATGATACCAGGCAGGAGCTGCTGGACCAGCGAAGGCGATTACGGCAGGAGCATGAAGACACCAGGGAACTGGCCAAAATGCACGGCTGGCTTCAGCGGGGCCCTGATGGGCCCCAACTTTGGGAGCCACCACTGCATGAAATCAGCTCAACTTCATTCTCATCCTGGCTCACACCTTCCTTACCCATGCCCACCTCTTCATCCTTGACCACCTCCTTACCCATGTCCCTAGCCTCACCTGTTCCCCTAGCCTCACCCACACCCCCAGCCTCACCCATACCCCCAGCCTCACCCACACCCCCAGGATCTTCAGAAAACACTGCAAGGCCCAGTATGTTGGCTGGTAGCCCAGATGCCCCCTTATCTGCCTCCACAATCTCCAATACTGAGTCTCCAACTCCAGTTGGACCTCATGAGGTTTCCTCTCCACCCTGTTTGTAGAGCCATGGTACTTCCCATGATGAGTCTATGAGCATGTGATCAAAGGCAGGGCCCTAAGCAGGGCCCCGGGAGCTGGAGAGGGTTGGGGGTGGGGCGGCGAGGAAGGGGAAGCAAGAAAGGGAGAATTTCTAATAAAGGTCTATGTCATGTCCCATGTCCTGCCATTTATGATGATCTATATATGACCTTCGGCAATTTGCGACCCTTCTCTGTGCCTCAGTTTCCTTAGTAGTAACAAGAGGGAGGTGGGTCAAGTCATCTTTAAGGTCCCTTCCAGCTCTAACATTCTATGATTCTAGACTTACTCTTCGTTCATTTATTTACTGATTTGTTGCTATCTTTCGTTTTCGAAGAGGACCAAAATGACATCACTATACTAAAGTCAAGTTACAGTGTGTCCGACTGTGGCTGATCAAACAAATATGCACTCAGCATGTTCTACCACAGGTTAGGCACAAATAGTTCATGTGAACATTTGGTGTGAATTCTCTAAATGTGTGCATCTCGCATTTCTTTTGAGCCCTTTCAATTCTACTTTGCTTATAGAGGACAGTACCTTCTCTGATGTGGGCATGCCATGCTGGGCAGTCCTGTGCCATTGTCTCCCATGTCACACAATCAATTCCAAAGTTCTTAAGAGAGACCATGAGAGCAGCTAGGTGGCACAGTGGATAGAGCACCGGCCCTGCAGTCAGGAGGACCTGAGTTCAAATTCAACCTCAGACACATAACACTTACTAGCTGTGTGACTCTGGGCAAGTCACTTAACTCCAATTGCCTCACCAAAAAAAAAAAAAAGAAAAGAAAAGAAAAGGAAAAAAGAGAGACCTTGAGAATGTCCTTGTATTGCTTCTTCTGACCACCACATGAACACTTGCCTTGTGTGAGCTCTCCATGAAATAATCTTTTTGGCAAGCGTATGTTTTGCATTTTAACAACATGGCCAGAGCCAAAACAGAGAAAGAAAATTATAGGCCAATTTCCCTAATGAATATAGATGCAAAAATTTTAAGTAAAATATTACCAAAGAGATTATAACAACTTATCTCGAGGATAATACACAATGACCAGGTAGGATTTATACCAGGAATGCAGGGCTGGTTCGATATTAGGAAAACTATCAGTATAATTGACTATATCAACCACAAAACTAACAAAACAACATGGCCAGGCCATCAGAGTTGCGCTCTCTGAAGCAGAGTTTGAATGGTTGGCAGTTTAGTTAGAGAAAGGACCTTAGTCAGGGCAGCTAGGTGGCGCAGTGGATAGAGCACTGGCCCTGGATTCAGGAGGACCTGAGTTCAAATCTGGCCTCAGACACATAACACTTACCAGCTGTGTGACCCCGGGCAAGTCACTTAACCCCATTGCCTAGACAAAAAAAAAAAAGAGAGAGAGAGAAAGGACCTCAGTGTCTGCTATCTTACCTGCCAGGTGATTTTCAGAATCTTCCTAAGACAATTCAAGTGGAATCAATTCAGTTTCCTGGCATGGCGCTGGTATGCTGTCCAGGTTTTACAGGCATACAACAATGAGGTCAGCACAATGGCTCTATAGACCTTCAGTTTGGTAGTCAATCTAATACCTCTTCTCCCCCATACTTTCCTTCAGAGCCTCCTAAACACTGAGCTAGCTCTGGCAATGTTGTGCCTCAACCTCATTTCTCAGCCCTTACGCCCTCCCCCTCAGGGCCCTCTGGAGCTTCAGTGGTGGAACCTGGTGAGGGGACCCCGGCGAGGGGACCCCGGCAACTGCATCTGTGGCCCTCTCCCAAGAGAGAGATTCAAGAGTGAGAGAGAGCACGATGAGAAAGAACACCTGAAGGCAGGTGGCTTTCGGTGGGCCTGTAGGGGGGCTTCTTTTTCCCGAACTGTTGGTTCCTCATTTCTTTCTTCTAATTACTGATTTATTCATAATATGGATTGGTAACTAGCTGGGCTAATAGATAGAGCACTCTGACCAGAGTCAGGAAGACCTAAGTTCAAATGTGGCCTCAGACACTTACTAGTTGTGTGACCATGGTCAAGTCAATCAACCTGTCTGCCTCAGTTTCCTCATCTGTAAAATGGGGGTAATAATAGCACCTATCTTGCAGAGAGTTGTTGTAAGGATCAAATGAGATATTTGTTAACAACAAAAAAAAAACTTAGCACAGCACCTAGCACATAGTAGGCACTACATAAAAGTTTCTTCTCTTCCCCCTTCCCCCGAGCCAAAAAAATGGGATAGTTGGTGTGGGTTCAGTGCACACCAGTGCTACATTTGCTGTAGAATCCTACACCTGGTTTATTTCTCTGCTCTCTGCAACCTACCGTCAATTAATTGGTTAATGAACTAGGAAGGGAATGCAGTAAATAACTTGGCCACCAGGTGGCACTAGCCTCTAGCCACTACTCAAAGGCTTTAACCAGATATTCAGAGCAGATATTCAGGTTTTCCCAAAAGCCTCAATATTTCCACTGCTCATCAAAAGTCTCTCAGTCTACCAACTCTTAGACTCATTCTTCTCCCAGTAATGCAGCCGCAATTAAATGTTGGTCTATGGGTATGGAATAAGAAAATGGTGAGTTGCCCTCAAATGTTAAAATTAGAGAAATGTCAATGGCTCTGCCCCAACCCAGCATTTAGGACACCTCTCGTTCTCATTGACTTCATAAGACTCAAATTTTGACATTTTTAAGTTATATTGTTTATTCAAACAAAGCAGAGTAAATTTTTTAAAGTAAAAGAACTATCATGCCTCACCTTTCCCCAAAATCTTCTACCCACTCCTGCTCCTGGAGATATGAAAAAAAAGAGAAGTTGCACACCTGAGCTGCCAGTATTTAACTCAAAAGGTAAAAGAGCACAAGAGAAAGACATGCCTCCCTCTTCCTCCCACAACTAACTGTTCCTCTTAACTCTATGACAGCAGTCCACCCCCAGCACTCCGGAACATGCTCCAACAGCAATACTCCCACTAGATCTTGTCCCACAACTTCCAACCCCATGCCAGATTCTGACCTCAGTTCTGCCTGGTCTCAGGCCCAGTAGTTAGTATCTCAGAGGCCAATGAAATAGCAGCAGTAATATTACCATTACATGCTGCCACTATCTGTTCTCCTCTTCTTCCTCCCCTCCCTTCCTCTCTCCTTTCCTTCTCTATCTCCCTTCATCTCTCTCTCTCTCTCTCTCCTCTTCTCTTCTGTTCTCTTCTCTTCTCTCTCTCTCTCCCTCTCTCTCTCTCTCTCTCTCTCTCTCTGTCTCTCTCTCCCCCTCCTTCTCTCTCTTTCTCTCCCCTCTCTTTCTTCCTCCCACCCTCTCCCTCTCTCCCCTAACTTGCACTCTAATGGGAAAGAAAGTTGGGTTAGCCATATAGACTCATATGAAATTAAAGACCAACAACCTCTCCCTATGAGTTGCAAGTTTGCATGAATAGTCTCATCCTTCCTCCCAACTTCTTAGCTTCACCATAGTCTCAAACTTGTGACTAAGCAGTCCTGCTTTCATGTCTTGAAAACTCAGTTTCTCCTGTGCCTTGCCTCAGAGTTCCTCAGACTCCTATAGAAATATAACACATTGTTAGCCCTGATCATGGGCTAAAAATGTGAGTCTGCACCTAATTATGAAAGCTTGGGCTACTTTCTCTAGCCTTTACTTTCCTCATCTATAAAATCAAGAAGTTAGGATAAGTGATCTATAATGTCCCTTTCATCTCTAGAGAAGATGATTATTCTTAAGCTACACAGTGGCCTACATGATGCAAGGATGCCCACTCTTTCTACTATTATTTGATATAGTTTTGGAAATGTTGGCAACATTTCACTCTTCGTCATTTTGTGCAAATTTTTCCATGCCTTTCTAAAATCATTGAGCTCATCATTTCTTATAGCACAGTAGTATTCCATCATAAACATACACCACAACTTATTCAGCTATTCCCCAATTGACAGGGATCCCTGAAATTTTCAGTTCTTTGCCACCACAAAGAGAGCTGCTATAAACATCCCATTCATATTCAAAGTTATAATTACTATTTGTGAATTTCCCTCCAGCTTATCTTTACTCACTATTTTCTATATCCCTGTTATCTTATATTCTCCCCCGACACTACCACCTTCCACTTCATCCATCGCTCCAAAAGTCCCCCATTCCCTCCCTCCATCTCTCCAATCTCAATCCAAACACTCCTCCAAAAATCCTCCCCATCCTCCTAAATCCCAATCCACACATCCCTCTAAAAGTCCCTCCCCAACTCTGTCTTCCAGTTTTCTGTTCTCTGGACATGTTCAGAAGACTTCTACACCCTTCCAGATATACACGTTGTTTCCTCTTCAATCTGGACGAGAATAAGGTTCCAACATTATCAGCCCTCTACTTCCACTTGCTTCCTCTGTATTAGTTCTTTCTTTCACACCTCATTTTTATAATATAATTGCTCCCTTTTACCTTTTCCTACCTAATTTTGTTTTTTAGATTCACCCCCAGCTCAGCTCCAACCTTTCTTTCAAACTACTTTAGTAATGATGACAGTTTTAAAAATACTGATAACATTTTCATATATATAATAAGTAAATAGTTTAACCTTAATGAGTGCCTTATAATTAGTCTTTAATGTTTTCCTTATATTCCTTCTGGATCTCTTATATCAAATTTTCCATTGAGGTTTTTTGTTCGTTTGTGTTTTTGTGAGGCAGTTGGGGTTAAGTGACTTGCCCTGAGTCACACAGCTAGTAAGTGTTATGTGTCTGAGGCCAAATTTGAACGCAGGTCCACCTCATTCCAGGGCCGGTGCTCTATCCACTGTGCCATTTAACTGCCCCCGAGTTTTTGTTACAAATACCTAAAAGTCTTTCAGTTTGTCAAATGTCCATTTTTTTTTTCATTTAGGATTATACTCAACTTTGTTTGGTAAGTTATTCTTGGACACAACTCTTTTGCTCTTTGAAATACAATGTTCTAAAAGCTGCTAGGTCTTGTGAAATCCTGATTGTATTTCTGCAGTATTTAAATTGGTTTTT